AGTACCTTGTTCCTCTTTATTGCTGAAGAGTATTCCTTGGTATGAATGTACCAGGTTTCCTCAAGAGGGGATTTTTATTTATTTCCAGGTTTAACTGTTCCATTTCAAAACCTTAATTTGCACTTCCCTAATAGCTGAATGTCTTCTTACGTGCTTATCAGTTCATTAATTTTGGAAAAAGTATCCACTAAGATGCTGATATTTCACAAAAGCCACAATATTTCACTGGTCTTTCAAGTATAAATGGTGCTCCATGAAGAAAAGTGCATAGTTCAGCTCACATCTTAAATGTGCAAGTACACTATCTGGAGATAACCATCTATTTCTGGAAGAAACAGAAGAGCCTTGAGAGTACTTTCCAATTCACCATGAAAAATATTAAAAAGGTATCAACTCAAAGGTTAAATTTGATAAGATTGCTATATTTTACTGTGGTATCAAAGACATTCTTTGAAACAGGTGCTGTTTTAATTAAACTTCATTTTAAAAACCATTTCAGGGGCTGGGGATTTAGCTCAGCAGCAAAGCACCTGCCTGGCAAGTGCAAGGTTGTGAGTTCGATTCCCGGTACCGGAAAAAAAACTAAAAAAAAACAACAACAAAAAACCCCAAACCATTTTATACTTACAGAAAAATTTGAAGATAGTACAGAAAAATACATGTACCCATACCCACTTATTGCTATTTCAGTACTACCTCATGTTTGTGAAGAATGAGAAGAATGAGATGACTACTTACACAGTTTGGGTGCCACTGTGCTGACTCATTCTAAGGCATCAGCAGTTTGACCAGCACTGCTTTTCCACTGTGGGTGCAAACGTCAACACAGTGAAATAAAAATAGTTTGAAAATTAGTTCTGAGCCCAGGATTGTCCTGAAAGAGTTTCGAGTATCTCCAAGGGTCCATAGACTACTCTTTCATTAGAAGTGTATAAGTACCTGCTGTATGTTATTATCAAATCCAGAAGAAGGGAATCAGCAATATTCTAGGAGACAGAAGAAAGTGAAAGAAGGAAGGAGGGAGAGAGGAAGAAAGGAGAGAGATCTCACTGAGAAAACCCAACAGTTATACCATTCTCATCCCTTTCCCCACATGATCCTGGTCACACCACTTTTGCTGGAAACCTCTGAATGATGGGCTAGGTCCTACCTGTAAACTACAAATGCCCAACGTTGCCTTGATACACCTTTCTTAGAGAACTTGGTACACAGAATTGTGGGTGGGTAATGTGTCTGCCTGTCATCAAAGTTGATTGGACGGGGGATGAAAACCTAGTGCTACAGAGACCAATCACAGATTGGACAGATTCAATCAGGTTCTCCAAACCTCATGACGTGGTCATAGAAGAACTCAGTGCATTAACTGAGAGTGGCTGCAGGGGCTGAATGTATGAAGCTAAGTGGTAAGGTGCCCTCTGAGGCAAGGATACACTGAAGCAGTGCTGGTTTGCCTGAGACTGTCCTGGTAGAGCACTGCAAGTTCTGTCCCAGGAATCCCCTCAGTCCCAGTCAAACTCGGTGGTTGGTCATCCTACATAGGCACCATTATGGAGTAGCTACAAACAAGGGGTGATCGAAATATATGGTGAGTGTTTAAATTTAAAAATAATCACAGTAAGAGATATATTGCCACCAAAATGTCCCCTCTCTCTTTGAACACACTCATCCCATCCTTGTTGCTGCTCTGGGAAGCTGTTCTGGAAGTCCTCTTCTGTGTGTGTCTTTGATTGTTCTGTCATGGCTGTCTGGATGTTCTGAATCAATTCAAAATGTTTACCTTTCATGGTCATTTTGACTTTGAGGAAGAGCAAAGCTGTTGCATAGTGCCAGATCTGGTGACTGAGGTGGATAAGAACACAGTGTAATATTTAGGTTAGGTTGCATTTCTATTGGCTGGCACTTAGCAGCAGCATTCACTTATGACAAAATTTTGTCGTAAGACACTCACGAAAGAGAACTGATTCGGAAAGTGGCAGAGCAGTGGGATACGCTTGTTTGAAGCAGGAGGGAGTATTCTGAGGTGGATTAGTGGCAATGCATTTTTTACTATAAAAATTTTGTTTTCTTTTTGTGAATTTCTAGGTTCTTTTTCCCTTTTTATTTTTATTAGTGCATATTTTCAGTGCATAATGATTACACTCATCTTGGGGAATGAAGACGTATACTGCATCTTAATTCTTTTTGCTCCCCCTACACTCCCCTCCTCCCCCTCCCCTCATCTCCTGGTTCAGTTTGCATCTGAGAAAAAATTTCTCCCTGAGTCCTATTATCTTTCATTTTTGTTCTTTATTTATAGTTTGTGTAAAATAAAATAAAAAAATTAAATTATTTATAGTTTGTGTTTTTCATGTAAGAGAAACCATGTGATATTTAAGTTTGTGGGTCTGATTTATTTCACTTGATATTATGTTTTCAAGGTGCATCCATTTTCCTACAAATGACTCAAATTTATCTTTCCTTATAGCTGAGCAGTACTTCATTGTGTATAAATACAACATTTTTAAAGTATCCATTCATTGGCTGACAGACATACAGGTTTCCAGGATTTAGCTAGCATGACTTATACTGCTCTAAACATAAGTATGCATGTATTGGTCTAATATGTCTTTAATTCTTTCAGAAAGAAACACAGAAGAGGGATAGCTGAGTTGAATGGAATTTCTATTTTTAGTTTTTTAAGGAATCTCAGGCTGGTGATATAGGTCAGCGACACAGTGCCTGCCTGGTAAGCACAAGGTCCTGAGTTGGATTCCAGGTACCAAAAAAAAAAAAAAAAAAAAAA